GATCAGAGGTGTCAAACTCATTTCCACCAGGGGGCCACATCATCAATACAGTCCCCCCTTAAAGGGCCGGTTGTAAATGTTAGACTGTATAGATCAGGGGTCCCCCAAACCCTGGTCTGCAGACCAGTACCAGTCCATAGGTCTTTTAGTCCCGGGCCGCTTCTGGTACCAAAGGACCTATGGACTGGTACTGGTCCGCGAACCGGGGGTTGGGGACCCCTGATCTATACAGGGTTCCGTTTAAAACCGTCCCTTCAACAGGAACTGTATTACTGATGTCGCCCCCTGGTGGAAATGAGTACACCTCTGGTGTACAGCGAACAGGCGGATCACAGGCATGCGCAAACACATGGATTTTGAGATGCTATACTTCCTGACACTAACACTAACAATCTAGGCCTATAGCAGCATAACCAGGGGTTAACTCAGTTTCGGTTCCAAAGGTGAGGAGCCTGGTAGCCTTGAAGCCCAAGTTGGCCTGCCTTTTCAAAGCAAAGTAATCCCTTAGATGGTTGATAAACACCATGGTATTATTGGCAGAGTAAACTTCTCCTCTACTCCCGCTTTTCTTCAGACTTTCAGCAACTATGATTCCCGTCGCCCCTCCTGTCGCTCTGCGTCTTCCTCCACAGCGTCCTGGGCAAACTCCTGTCCTCGGCGCGGACGCCTTCTTTATGCTCCTCTCATCCTGGTGGAGGAGGAAGGTAGCCCACCCTGGGGTGTAGGGAGAGCAAGAGGAGGTCCTGGGGTAGAGAGAAAGGAAGGAGGAGCAGGAAAAGGTGCGGATAAGATGTTTGAACGTTTTCTCTCCTGGTATGGTATGTTTGATTACCCTCTGCCATGACCCATTTCTGCCAGCAGGTTTCAATGGGGCAGGAGCAGAAAGCAGACCAGCCTGGTACAGAGGAGCACCAGGAACATCAGGTAAGAAGTAAAAATGATTTAGTTTTGTTAAAATGTTAAGGAAATGGCAGACATTTTCTATGCATGTAGATCAACTTACCTGTTGTAGAAGTTTATATCCTAAACTATCTGCTGAGGTGATCAAGATGGTTGGCTCTTGGGAACCTTCACTATGGGTGAATTTGTTTACCCGCTGTAGAGCTGGAGGATGGGAACATTCCTTCCTTACTTCTTTCCTTCCTTCCTTCCCTGTTCCTTCTTTACTTGCTTCATTTCTTCCTTCATCCCTCCCATCCTCCTTCCTTCCCCCTCCACTGTTCCGTCTTTTCTTCCTTACTTATTTCTTCCTTCCTTTCTTCCTTACTCTCTCCCCTCTTCCTTCCTTTTTTCCTTCCTCCCTTCCTTTCTTCCATCCTCCCTCCCCTTTTTCTGCCTTCCTTTCCTTCCTTCCTTCCTTTTTTCCTTCCTTCCATCCTTCTTTCCTTCCTTCCTTCTTTTATCCCTTATTTCCTTTCTTTCTTCCTTCCTTCTTTCCTTTTTTACTTCTTTCTTTTATTCCTTCCTTCCCCCTCCACTGTTCCGTCTTTTCTTCCTTACTTATTTCTTCCTTCCTTCCTCTCTCCCCTCTTCCTTCCTTTTTTCCTTCCTTCCATCCTTCTTTCCTTCCTTCCTTTCTTTTACCCCTTCTTTCCTTTCTTTCTTCCTTCCTTCTTTCCTTTTTTACTTCTTTCTTTTATTCCTTCCATCCCCCTCCACTGTTCCGTCTTTTCTTCCTTCCTTTCTTCCTTACTCTCTCCCCGCTTCCTTCCTTTTTTCCTTCCTTCCATCCTTCTTTCCTTCCTTCCTTCTTTTATCCCTTATTTCCTTTCTTTCTTCCTTCCTTCTTTCCTTTTTTACTTCTTTCTTTTATTCCTTCCATCCCCCTCCACTGTTCCGTCTTTTCTTCCTTCCTTTCTTCCTTACTCTCTCCCCGCTTCCTTCCTTTTTTCCTTCCTTCTTTTTTCTTCCTTCCTTATTTCCTTCTTTTCTCCCTTACTCCCTTAATTCCTCCCTTCTTTCTTTCTTTCTTTCTTTCTTTCTTTCCTTCCTTCCTTTCTATCCTTCCTTCTTTCTTTCTTTTATTCTTTCTTAATTTTGTATTAGTTTTGTTTTAACTTGGGTGAGTCCACCTTCATCATCATCACCACCATCATCATCATCTCTTTAATTCTACCCTAATGTTTGAGACATGGGGGTACTATATGCGACAGCCAGAGTAAAAAAAAAACCAAGACTTGGGTATGCGTAGGTCTGCGATCTTGGAGAGATTTAATACGTGATATCTTTTGCAGTTTTGTCTTTTTTGACTTTCCACAGACAGACTAAGAAATTTCCATAACAGAAAATTACTTTTTTTTACCGTATCCAGACTATAAGTTGCACTTTTTTCATCCCTTGGCAGGGTTTTGCGACTTATACTCAGGTGCGACTTATAAATTAAAATATATTATTTTACATGTTTGTTATTTTCACAATCACAGCCACTAGAGGGTACTCTAGGCTTATGTTCCAGTATCGGCTACTCCTGTACTGAAAAACAGGAAATGTACCTGTTCGTTATTTTCACACTGAAATATATTTATATGTAAACTATATAACAATTGTATATATAATATAAATATATTGTTATACATAAAAACTGTTAAACCAAACAAAAAAGTGGCTGAACTTTTTTTTTTTAAAGTAACAATTCCTAATCTAATCTGTTTTGAACCTGTCCCTCGTGTGTCCAGCTCCTTCCCCTCCTCCCCCATACAGAGCTTTCACTACCCTGAGAGTGCCATCTCAACTTGGAGCGCATTTCACTAACAAACGAGGATCAGCCGACAGTCTGGTGGAGGCGGTGAGGAATTACAGATCAAAATAATATAGAGATTCGTGGGATATTAGAATATTGATGAGTCGTGGCATCGAACGGGTTGATTAGAGAATAATCAACTTGTATATTCACAGGTTCTCATCTCAGAAGGTCTTGGTCTTTACGCCCAAGATCCAAAGTTTGTGGCTTTTGCGAAAAGGGAGATAGCGGATGCGTGTCACATGACAGTCGATGAGATGGAGTCAGCAGCCAGCGACCTGCTAGGATCAGTGGCTTTTCTTGGCAACACAACCCCTGACCCCGCTGGGCTCTACAGCGACGAGGAACCTATCAGAACGAGCCGAGACGAGGACGAATTGGCTGATGAGATGAGCTGTGTGGCATTGTTCTGATGAGATGGACCGGAGGAGACCAGGCCGACCGTCAGGAAGCAGAGTGAACAGTTGTTTTTGTGACAACGTGACAGGTTGTTTGGCAAAGCAGAGAGAGATAAAAGACAAGAGAAGAGAAAATAAGGAGATAGAAAAGGGGGAATGAGTTCAGAATGAAGGTTATAATTTAGCATGTGGGTTCAATTATAGATGATTTCCTCTGTTTGTGACCCAAGTACATGAGAAATTAAGGAAGAAAATAACGAAATTACATTAAAAACATTTGTAACGTTCAATTATAGATGATTTCCTCTGTTTATGACCCAAGTACATGAGAAATGAAGGAAGAAAATAGCGAAATTACATTAAAAACATTTGGTAACAAAGTAATGAGAAAATGAGGTATGGTAAAAAAAAATATTAAAAAAAGAAAGAAAGAAAAGGAAAATGTAGTAGAAAACATTGGTTGGAACAGATTAGGAAGAAGAAATTGGAAAGTGAAATTTAAGGAAAGTACCCGAAGGAAAAAGAAGTAATAATAACAATAATAATAATAATAATAATAATAAAAGAACAAAAATGCAGAACAGAACCAAAAAAAAAAAAATGAAAGAAAGCTGATGTCAAATAAACGTTTGCTAATTTGGATCGTAGTGACGGGGGTTGACGCCACTGAATCATCTCTCAGAGGGACGTTTCGTACCTTTTATGTTTTCGGTGATGTAAAATAAAAAAAAAAAGTTAGTGCATTTAATAGTTTATCAATAAATGCTTTCATAGTAATGATCAAAACATCTTGTTTGTAAACATTTCACCATTTTACTTTAACTAGAAACTTTTTTGGGGGTGGGGGGGATTTCAAAAATGTTTTCTTCTTTTTTCCGGCAATTATTGGTTAAAATTTCATCCATCGTATTGGAAATGATTTAATTCGTCATATTTAAAGAAATGTGTGATTCCCGCCCCCTCCCCCCAACCCTGTTTAATGTCGTCGTAAACCCTTAATTTTGTTGATTAAAAAGATCAAAGTTTGTCGAATAATATTTTTCCCAAGACATTTTTCTTAACTGGAACTTTTATTTCATGTTCATTTTAAAATAAAACGTTTAAAATGTTTACATGTTTAAATAAAAGATTTTATTATCGCAAATTCATCGCAATCATTAAACCGGGCGTGAGCAAACCTTTAAACTCCACAAAGCCACAATTGTCCTAAAATTGAACAGGGTGGAGCGTTTGTGTGAACTAAGATAAACGACATGTAAAAGTCATGCATAAATGCTTTTATCATTTCCTACGCCATCTATTGGGGAAACGTGGGTATTGCAGGAAAAAGGCAGAAGTACTGTATAATGATAATGTAAATAAAAATAATTTAGAAAAATTTTGGCGGGCCCGATTAAAAAGCTGAACGTGCCGCATCCGGCCCCCGGTCCTTAGTTTGTCCATGCCTGTATTAAACCAAACAAACGAATTATGGACGATACAGAGAAAATAAAGTAGTCCCACTAACAGGTAAAAATCAACACCTTTTTTTCAGAAAAAAATGTTTTCGTTCATTCAACGTAGGCAAACGGTAAATATATCAATTGTAAGAATGATGTAAAAACGTTTACATTATTTTAGGAGCAGCTTATCGACGTCCGATAAACATTTCCAAAATGTTTTAGATATATTAAAAAAAAATAATACAACGAAGCTGACGGAGGAGGACTGACCTTCCTTCCTGCCTCCCTCTCCTCTTCTTCCTCCTTCCTCCCTCCTCCTCTTTCTCCTCCTCCTCATACATCATCATATCCTCTCTCCAGGATACAGGATCAGGATGGACGTTGTGAATCAGGTTGGAATTCCTAACTTAATTTTTTTTGTTTGTTTGTTTGTTTGTTTTGTTTTGTCGTTGTGGCGATGAATCAGGTTACGGTTATTATTGTCGTTGCTGCAGCTGCGTCGTGTCTGTGTTTCTCTGCATCTGTGCGTGTGCATGTGCTTGTGTATGACTCAGGCCGCAACGACAGTATCGGCAGCGTTGGATGAGTGACAGGTTGTAAAAAAAAAAAAAAAATGGGGTAAAATTAATAAGAAATCGCAGGGGGAGGCGAAAAAAAAATCCAGATTTCTCCGATCGATCAGAAATCAGCTGTTTTGTCGCATCAGGCGCGCTCCTGCGATAACACGGAGCGCGTGCACGCGTGTGTAAGATGGCAGCCGCAGGAGGTGGAGAATGGTGGTGAGGATGGAGAGAACAGCATATTAATTCACTGATCAGACCAAAAGTCCCTCATATCGGTTTTCATAACATAATCCCAAACTTCTGGGACTATTTTATTCAGATGTTTAACTTAACAGGTCAACAATTAGGCCTTCAGTCGAATAATACATTTTCCTTCTATGCGTTTTTCTGTGCCTGTCCTCAGATGGTGGCTCAGGGCCAGTTCCGGATCCTCAAAGTTCCCTTGGGTTTTATCAAGATTCTACAATGGGTGAGTTCAAGTCACAACCAAACACTGCGACAACAACAACCCCTTTCTGCTCCACTTCCTTTTTATTTTTCACCTTCTCCTAATCCTCTTCTTCAACCTTCTCCTTCCTCTCCACTGTTTTCCACTCCCACCATTTCTTTCCATTGCTCTCGCTCCTCCATCTACTCCACTCACTTCTTCCTTTTAAATCTCCTCCCTCTATTCCCTGTATTCTTTCCTCTCTCCTTTCCTCCTCTATCATTTTCTTCTTTCCTTATTTGTTCCTTATTCCTTTCCATCCCTATTTGCTTCACTCTTTTTTTTTTTTTTGCCCAACGTCCTCCTCCTCTTCCTTCATCTTTTCATTGTTTTTGGTGTTTCCGTCCTCCTCCTCTTCCTTCATCTTTTTATTGTTTCATTTTCGTCTCCTCATTTCTTCCTTCTCAACCTTCTCACCTCTCATTTCCTTTCACTTCATTTTGCTCTCTCGGTTATTCATCTCGTATTATTCTTCGACTACTTGACCCTTCTCTACTGCTCTCTTCTCTCCTCTCCCTCCTTCTCTGTTTTCCCCTCACCTTTTCCTCTTTATTCAAATCCCCAAATTGTCTTCTGTCTTATTTTCTCAACGTTTTCCACTTCCTTTTCTACCTCCAGTTCTTTGCCATCTTCGCCTTCTCCACCTGTGGCAGTTATTCTGGAATGTTCAGGATGTCAGTGGAGTGTAAGAACCGGACCGACAGCGACCTGAGCATTGAGGTGGAGTTTGAGTATCCATTCAGGTCAGTTCATCTTTTTTTTTTTTTTTTTAAACCTTTACCTCAAACTGAACTCACTCCTCAGTTCAACCACATTCCAAAATAAAACTTCATAAGAGTATAAAATCAATTTCCTATGCAATATATATATATATATGTATATATATATACTGTGTATATATATATATATATATACACATATATATATACACAACATAAAATACAAATACACCTAAAAAAAATCAGCAGTTATCACAACAAATAATATTATGAAAAATGAATATGCCAAAATACATTTATTTATATAGCACTTTAGTCGCAATATATATACGAAATATATTTAAATAATTCCCGTCATTAACTCAATCCAAAACCATTATATTTGGTGCTTTTTATCCCAAAGTGGAACCGCTGCACTTCTTCTTCTGTCTTTTAGTGATGACTGAGGTTTAATTGATTCAGAGGACGTTGATTCTGTATACTCCGTATACACGAGTAAAGACGAGTAAAATACGTCTTTACTCGTGCTGACGAAAACACCTACACGAGAATGCATGGATCATACTCTTTGGCTGAACGATGGCATTAAAGAGTCAGATTACCGAATATAATATAAAAAGTAAAAAAAATATTCTACATATATAGGCCACACTTCTCAATAAGGCACACGTGTCCACATTGTAACATGGGATATTTACATAGAAAAATGCTCTTTTCCTGCTTCGGTGCCGCACAGAGGAGACTTAGTAATCTGCTCCAGGGATGAAGCTAACGTTAGCTCCCGGGGCTAACTCCCTTCACTTTGTGCTCGTCCGCAGCAGAGGTAAACAGAAACAGGTTGAAGTTGGGGTCTTTATTATCAGCCACACTGAGCACAACAGTTCAGGGACATACGCTTACTGGTATAACACACTACCAGCCTACCGGAAAAGTCATTGCTCGCTAGCGGTATGAACTTCATTAGCCCGTAAAAATCCATAAATTAGCCGTATTAGTCATTAATCATTGTTTGAGACGCAGGGTTCAAAGCGTGTAAAAAAAAGTAGCGGCTTAGAGTCTTAGAGATATTACGGTAAGTTTGTTGTCCCGAATGACTTTGCGGTGACTACCCTGTGTAAATTGAGAATTCTAAAGTGTAACTTAAAAAAGGTTTTACTCACAAAAATAAGTGGACAAACTCCAAACAGGTCCGGTGTCACGGGTGTAATTCACGATTACCCTACAACACTCTCTCTCTCTTCCTCATTCACTCACTCACTCTCTTAGCTAAGAAGCAGGTCAGTGAACAAAATGATATGCAGAACACGGCCCAAAAACCTGGCAGGTACCTATCAGACTTTACAATGTATTTCAAATAAAAAAGCGTAGAGCTCCCTTCCACACCGACGGCGTGCTAGCTTGAGGGTGCTCTGCGTGACGGTTGTTGTCATGTAGACATGAGCAGACGCAACCTGGTCAGTCAGCGCTCTTATGGCAGAGCAGAGGAGGATAAGTGGCTGACTTTCAGTCAGTTTTGCGGAGGCAGAAAACATTTGTTTCACATAAAAGAATTGGCTGAATGCCGTATCCTTAGCTACTTGAATTTGTTGCATTTGTAATTTCCCATTTACTTTAACTGCTGTTCTAAATATGAGTGAAAACATGCACTAGTGCCGCGGTTCCCAAATTGTTTTTTTTTACCAGTCTCTTGCTAAACATTTACAGCATTGGACAATATTATGTTTCATTCATTCATTCCACCCCGCCCAGACCCCCGCCAGCCCCCACTTTGGGAAACTGTATGACATATAAAATGTATGACATTCCAGTCACATCTCGTTTGCACAGACACAGAGTCATAAACATGCAAGTGCAATTGTGCTCTATTGTCATATTAATTGTTATAGGCTAAAAGTCATAAATAATTGGGAAGAATTTTTTTTTTATTTTTTTGCCAATATCACCCAACTCTAGTTTGTACACACCCAAACACCTACCGTAATTTCTGGACTAAAAGCCGCTACTTTTTTTCTCTGTGGCTTAAACAATGATGTGGCTAATTTATTGATTATAGGGGCTAGCGAAGATCATACCGCTAGCGATCAATGACTTTTCTGGTAGGCTACTACTAGTGGCGTATGTTCTGTTTATGTTCTGTTGTGGTCGGTGTGGCTGATAATAAAGACCCCAACTTCACTGTTTCTGTTTACCTCTGCTGTGGACAAGCACAAAGTGAAGGGAGTTAGCCCTGTAGCTAATGTTAGCTTCGGCCCTGGAGCAGATCACTAAGTCTCCCCTGTGAACTCCGTGGAGCAGATTACTAAGTCTCCCCTGTGAACTTCAACTACGGTCGGGGCGTCGAATCAGGAAAGAACGTGTAACCAGCAGTGTTACAGGCATTATTTGGGGAAAAAAAGCATTTATTTAATTAAAAGTGAAAAAAAAAATCTGTTATGTTACAACATAGACACCTGCGACTTATAGAGAAGTGCGGCCTATATATGTACAGTTTTTTTTTCAGGTGCGCTCAATAGTCCGGAAATTACAGTACCTCTCTCTCAGAAAAGAGAAAACCATTGGGTTTAGTTCATGGGGACACATGAGCTTCTTGTCCACTGCTGACTCCTGTGGTTGGTTTGTGTCTCTGAGGTCAATCTAAACGATCACTTCATCTGTCAGACTCCACCAGGTGTACTTTGATGCCCCCACCTGTAAGAATGGGAACATAGAGCGCCTCTTCCTGGTGGGCGACTACTCCTCCTCAGCTGAGTTCTTTGTGACGATTGGTGTGTTCGCCTTCCTGTACTCCATGGCTGCGCTCAGTGTATATATCTTCGTCTTTGACAAGTACAAGGAGAACAACAAGGGCCCTATGATTGTAAGTCCATCCCGTATATTGCATTTAGAATCTGTATTTTTATAGTTAAAACGGTGTCAGAAAGAAAAAAGAATGGACAGCAATTTTATGAGCAGATTTTAAAGAACGAATTAAGAAAGTGAGTTAGCAGCTGGGTGGATTCAAATCTGCAACCTTCCGGACTCAGGTCCACTTCCTTAACCACTAAGCCACCACTGCCACCACATTGACCAAACATACCGTAGTTTGATTTGTAAAGAAGCCTGCGCCAGACTCAAACAAATATTGTAATAAACGCAATAAATGTAGATAATTATAATAAAGCAATAATGTACTTAAAAAGAATAACAAAAATAACCTGGGCTACATTTTAAACATTTCAAACATTTTAAACATTTCTGTCAAAATAAAAACCATACTTGGACTGTTAATATTGTACGCGGTCCTTTTCTTATTTGAAAAAAAAATTTTAAATTTAAAAATTGAATTGAAATTGTTCGCTAAACAGCAATACCCTCAAATCAATTCAGACTCCTTCACTCTTCATACTGTGTAATAAAATAGTTTTGTTTGTTTTGTAAAATGCCCCGGGGGCGGGGGAATTACTCTCCCAGTTTGCCCCCTGGCTCTGCCTCTGGAGCAGTAGATAAAACTAGACCCCTAGACCATGGGTGTCAGACTCATATTTTATCCTTTGTTTTCATGCAAAGATGTACAAGTATATTGGATAAATCCTAATTATATGTACAGTAATTATTACTTAATTATCACTCAATTCAGGCAGGGGGCAAACTTTTTCAGTTGCGGGCCACAACGGGTCCAAAGATTTGACAGCGGGTCTGGTCAGGAGCAAATCGATGTAGCGTTCGCATGGACTAAAACAAATAGAGTAATGTAGATGACGAGTAATGTAAAAGTCCCAAAGGCTAAAATGCTAAAATGCTAAAAATGCCTTTAGCCTTTTCTACGCAATCTATGGAGAAATGCGGGCATTGCAGGGAAAAGACAGAAGTATATGATAATAAAAATTTGTAAAAAAGTCTTTGTATGTAATGCTGCTCCTCCATTATTATCCAAAATGTTGGTAGTGCTGTCCCTAGTTTTACAAATGTTAAATGTAGTACAATGTTAGATTTGGACTGGTATATTACTTGAAGTATAGCTTTAAGACAGAGGTTTTTCATGTGCCCAACACTTCTGTGGCGATCAGGTGACGTGGTGACATTTGGACCTGTTTCTTGATTATGTGTTTGTATTTCAGGATCTTGGAGTAACTGGAGTTTTTGCCTTCATGTGGCTGGTGAGTTCGGCTGCGTGGGCCAAAGGTCTGTCTGACGTGAAAACAGCAACTGACCCCGACAAAGTCGTTACACTGATCGCAGCCTGCGACGCAGAGGAGAACCGCTGCCGTGAAGTCCATGATCCAGTCATGTCTGGACTCAACACTTCCGTGGTAAGTTTGAAGTTCTTCGAAAGATATACTGTCACGCAACAGACAACAACGACTGATTCATTATTATTCGCTTTCTGCTTTTTTTAGGCCTTCGGCTTCATCAACCTAGTGTTGTGGACAGGGAACCTCTGGTTTGTCTTCAAGGAGACAGGTATTATTGCTCCGTTCATGCGGCCACCTCCTCCTCCTCAGGAGAAACCTGCTGCACCTGACGCCTACGGCCAGCAGGGGGCCTATGAACAGGACCCGTATGCCAGCAACCAGGGTGGCTACCAGCCTGACTACAGCCAGCAGGGATACAACCAGGTAGCACCTGCAGAAAACAACCATGGGGGACTTAAAGAGCAGCTCTAATTGGATGGAAAAAGAGATTTGTTGGTCTGATTATAATTAAAAAATAATACATGAATCATAAAAAAAAATAAAAATAAAAAAGCGATAAGACGGGGAACAACACGAGTCAAGAACAGGACCGTGTGGAAGGAGAACAGGAATGGAATAGAGCAGCGGTTTCCGAAAGTAGGTGCTGGCAGGAAGCTATTGCTTAGGGCATACGTGTCAAACGCAAGGCCCGAGGGCCAAATGCGGCCGCCGAGACATTTTGTTTCTGAACTTGATAATACATAAAAAAAATATATTATACACAGTACAATATATTATTAGATATTATTCGATATTTGTAACTTGAAAACATGTATTAAAATATTATGAAGTCGTTACAGCTATACAGTCTTACAGTTACCACCGGGCCCTTCAAGGGGAACTGTATTGCTGATGTGACCCTTCGGTGACAATGAGGTTGAAACCCGTGGGTTAGGGGAATGAGGGACTGTATACTGGTAGCATAACATAGACGAGTGTGTGCACTTAGCTAGCGCAGCTTCCTCTTCGCTAACTGAAGGTCAACAAACTTCGAACGCAAAGAAGAGAAAATGTGATGAAGCATATCTGGTCGATAGATGGATGGATGGATGGTTGGACAGTGAAGTTGAGCTTCACTGTCCAACCGTCCATCCATTTATCGTCCTCCGCTTATCCAGGGCAACAGTCCATGCATGGGGCAATATCCTCCGTGCCTCGGGAAGGCATGGAGGAAGTGTCTCAGAGCCCTCCCTCTGGACATAGTCACTCCAGCGTGTCCCGGGTCTTCCTCCGGGTCTCCTCCCAGTGGGACATATCTGGAGCGTCTCCCGTGGTTATGGTTTAAATGCCCAAGCCAACTCAGCTGACTGAAAGGAGCAGCGGCTCTACTCCAAGCTCCACCCGGGTGACAGAGCTCCTCACCCCATCTCTAAGGGAGCGCCCTTGCCACCCACCCAATGAGAAAGAAGCTCATTTAAGCCAGCTTGTATCTGGGATCTTGTTGTTTCGGTCTTGTCCCAAAGTTCATGACCATAGATGAGGGTAGGAACGTAGATTGAGCGGTAAATCGAGAACAACTTGACCACAACTGACCCATACCGATCCGCCTGTCAATGTCACGCTCCATCCTTCCGTCACCCAAGATACTTAAACTCCTCCACCTGAGGTAGGTAAGCCACCTTTTTCCAGTCAAGAGTCATGGCTTTGAGCTAAGCGGTGGCTCACTACAAAAATGCTAATAGTGCAGCAGTTAGCACAACAACAACTAAAATAGGAATGATAGGAGAGACATGGTCAGCTTGTGAAGTCATTTAAAGATGTTCCTACTTCCGATTTTTATTCCCCCCCTTCCCCCACAGTAGGTGAAAGAGGGACCACTGACAAAGATAATAACTGACTCAGAAGACTCTTGTTTCTTTGTCTCCGTACAGGAGGCAGAATATGGTCAGAGTTATGGACAGCCGGGGGCACCCACCTCTTTCTCCAACCAGATGTAAAGGGACAGGTGAGAAAGGTTCCATTTACTTTGTTCTCCATATAAATGTCAGCTGGTTTGTTTCTTCCACATATCTGTCTTTTTGGGGGCCATGGTAAAATGGTTAAAATGAAAACAAAGTTTTTTAAAAAGATCATCCATCAATAAGTGTGTAGACGTGTTATTTGCAGAGGTGGAGGAAGTAACGGATTGCATTTACCCTATTTTGTGGACTATAATTTGCAGGTTTTTTTTTTCATCCTTTGGCTGGGTTTGCGACTTATACTCATGTGCAACGTAAATATTAAAATATATAATTTCACGTTTTTTTATTTTCGCACTAGACAGCCACTAGAGGGCACTCTAGGCTTGTGTACCAGTATCTGCTACTCCTGTACCACAGCCCGCACTCTAGCTGACCGGTGCGACTTATACTCCGGAAACTATGGTACTCACATCACTGTAATTGAGTAGTATTTGTGAGTCATTTTATAAGTAGTTTTGGAAATAGGTCAGTTTAATTTTAAGTACATTTTGACGCAGGTAGTAAAAAAAAAAAAATCTATTTGTTTTTACTTTACTCGAGTAGATTTGTAGATGGTTACTTTTACTTTCCCTAAATCACATTTTTTTAGTACTTTTTCCACCTCCTGGTTATTTGTTGACTTTTTTAAATTTACATTTACCCCACTACCACAAACCACAGGAGGCAGCAGTAGTACAAGATGCTCCTGCGTCAATTGTGAGGTGACGTTGTTTGTTGTTAGCGGTTGTTTCAACATATTGATACACTTTCCTTTGTATCTTTCACAGAAGCATTGGAGTAAACCATGGAGTGGTTCCCCTGCACCCTACCAACAATGCAACACTCCTGCTCGTGGGGTGAGGGAGGGTGAGGATGTGGGTATCTAGATGTTTAATATAATGGGTCAATGATTAAATGATTATTTTAAAAAAAGAGTTATCGACAAAAGATTCACAACTTGAACAGAGAGAGAGAACATCAAAAACGAGAAAGCTGACAAGTCGAACCATGTTAAGCTTCGTTAACTTTGTGGAACGGAATGTATGTTTGTGTTGTATAGTAATCACTTAAAATATAATATATATATACATATATATGTATGTGTATATATATATATATATACAATTTAGGGATGTCTGATAATATTGCCTGACCGATATTATCGGCTGATATTAGCATATTAGTTATGTAATATCTGTAAGAATCGTTATCTGGGTTTCACCATATATGCTGGAATTGCTTGTGAGGTACTGAGACGTTTTGTTACTGCAGTTTTGGGAAACCTACTGCATGTATCGGTGTCGGAAATTAAGTGTTTGGACAACACAGTGGACTCCCTTAGATACAAATTGAATCTTCGACAGCACTGGTGTCTCGATCCACTCGTATCTAGATTCGATTTTTTTTTTTTCCCCAATAAAAATAACCAAAAGCCAAATAAATTCATTCCAGCGCCCACCCCCCCAGAAATATATAATTAACCTTCCCTAATCTAAACATCAAAAACATAGATATAATCAAATATATTGATAATATAAAATAATTATAATAAGGAAAACATTTTATATTGTTGTTAGAAAAATGGGTAAAATAACCAAGCGAGTGACAGGGAAGCGCGACGGCGCCACAGTGTTGGGACCACTAAGCCTAGGAGAAGGACCGGGACTGGGAGTGAGGACTTGATTCAGATGATAGAAAGAGAGAGAGAACGAAAGAAAGCGATAGGTAAAATGACCAAGCGAGGGACAGCGAGACAAAGAGACGGGGCCTGTATGAACCTGTATGCGTGGGATTTACAAATTTGGGTGGGAAAAATGGAGCTTGGTTGAGCGCTCAAAACTAGATACAGTTACCCCCTAGATACGAGCTTCCCGAGTGTTTAGTGTTCCCGAGTCTTCAACTATTGCAAGGTTTTACGATACGGGGAAATATCAAGTTATGAGTGCTCAACCGAGGACTGGCATCCAAAATAAAAATGAATATATTTAATCCTTCTCCTGCCCTTAGTGGCCCCGACACTTTGTCACGCTGTCTCTCGCTTACTGTCCCTCGCTTGGTCATTTTACCTATCGCTCTCTTTCTCCCTATAATAATATATATATAATAAATAATATAAAATGTTTTTTTTTTAATTATTATCATTTTATATTATCAATATATTTGTTTACATCTACGTTTTTCGTGCTTAGATAGTGGGAACAAATGAATTCATTTTGAGTCATTTTTAATGGGGAAAATTCAATCTAGATACGGAATTAAACTTGTATCTCGTGGGTCCATTGTGTCAGGAGCAAAATCTCGCAATAGTTGCAGACATAACATAGAATACTCTGCATTTCGAAGCTCGTACCTAGGGGGTCTGCTGTATCAGCATATCAGATATCGGCATAAAAAAAGAGTTAATATTGGACATCCCTAATATAGTTGCATTGAAGTCACGTCCAGCCAATCGCAACGCTGTTCAGAGTGGGTTCGCACACGTCATCGTACATACTTCACCGACCAGCTTTGTGCCGTATGTCTTGCTGCATGTAAATATTAATACAGGGAGTGATGTCATTTTCAGAAATACAGCTTCTGTGAACCCAATCTAAACTACAGCTCTATGGTTACTCCGATGGAAACTGGATCCAAAACGGAGTTTGCACTCGAGGTGTGTGTGTGTGTGTGCGGGTGTGTTTGAGTTTAGATAAAGTGAGGAGACACTCCAGAAACAGAAAAACTCATCTGAGTTACGATGTTCAAGGTTTTACTAAAACATTCCTTCTCCAGTTGGTGACTTTTTTTTTTTCCACAAGATCAGAACAAATTAGAGGTTCATGTCAGCCAACAGCAGCAAATTTCCTGCCGTAAGGATAAGTAAAATGCCAATTTATTCAGAGAAGTCTTTTTAGAGTGGCATATCAGCTTGTATAATTCGCTCATATTTTGGTAATAAATGATAAATATTCCACAGTTAGCTAGCATTAGACAAAACAAACAAAAAAAAAAATTGGATGCTACGGTAAAATGAAACCTGCTCAGTGGTCAGTTGATGTTACCTGAACAAGTTATTGTTGTGTTTTAATGTTACAGACTTACGCAGCTGTACCTATGCGAGGCAAATGCTAACAGACTGAACCAAAAATCTCATGTTCAGATGTGCGGTTTTCTGCGACCAGCTCTTAGCCAATCAGCAGCTGTGTTTTTCGAAGCCTCTTTCGGATGTTTTTTGGATGTTTCCTTCTTGGCATGATCACGTACGTGTTCCTCGCTTGTGTTGTACAGTGACCGATGATTTGTGTGATTGTACCTTCTGTTCTGCTGTAAAGGTGTGTGAGGTGTGTGCGTGCGACCTACCTGTCCATATTTCCGTACATCACTATCTCAACTTTTTTTCAATCTGTAACACTTTATCTGTTGTCAGTCCCGTATTTTCATCCCGATCTTTTTCTTCTTCCGTAGTTTTATTTATTTATTTTTTTGTCATTTTCTTGTTTTTATTCTTACACTTTTTTTTTAAAATCTTGTCCTCTTTTATTCTTCTTCGCGGTGACACTCCTCTCTGCTTCTGTGATGTAATCTCCTACGTGATGATATTCTTCCTTATAACCATGACAACAGTTCTGACAGTGTTGTTGATGATGATTACGATGTAATGATTATGTAATAACAATGACGTGTGTGTGTGTGTGTGATTTGTGGCCCTGCCCTCTTCTCGTGGTATTCAGTGAAAAATATCAATAAACGCCAAACTGGTCGCTGACTATTTATTTATGATGAATACAAGAGTAGCAATATTAGAGCCACATTGAAAAATAGGTAGAAAAATGAAA